AGGCGCAGTGGAACGGCGTCCCGGTGGGGGAGGCGGCGGGGCGGACGAGCTGTGCTTCATGCCGGTGCTGCCAGTGGTGTTGGGCCGGGAGAGGTCCGGCAGGGAGGGCCTCTGCGTGCGCGGCAGCTCCGGGGGAGAGGCCCGGCTGTTGTCAGCATCATCTTGAGGTCGGCTGTTGCTGGCCGGCACCGGGGGCCTGGGGGCGGCTGCTCGGGAGCTGGGGACTTGCAGGGTTTGCTGGCGGACGAGCTGTGCTTCATGCCGGTGCTGCCAGTGGTGTTGGGCCGGGAGAGGTCCGGCAGGGAGGGCCTCTGCGTGCGCGGCAGCTCCGGGGGAGAGGCCCGGCTGTTGTCAGCATCATCTTGAGGTCGGCTGTTGCTGGCCGGCACCGGGGGCCTGGGGGCGGCTGCTCGGGAGCTGGGGACTTGCAGGGTTTGCTTACTGGAGCTGTCTGCGGTGAAGGAAAGCAGAGTGACTGGCCAGGCAGGGCGCAGGCCGGGAATCGGCAAGAGCGACGTGCAGCGCTTCGGCCCCAAGCCTGCGCAGAGCGCGGGGCAGCCTGCCCGCTCGGCCGAGGAGGGCCAGACCGCGGGGAACGCTGTCTGGCACAGGCAGGGAGCTGGCAGCGTGTTCAGCCACACGGCTCCTCTCTCACCACTGCTATTCGCTCTCTGGCTTGCTGGAAGGCAGGTTGCCACAGAAAATAGCAGAGAGAAACATTCAGCAACACACGTGACTCTCGGGCCCTCCAAGGAGGTTTGTGTCGTGGGACACTGTGGTGTGGAGAGAAGGCAGCCTGCCTGCGGCCACATGTGGGGTGTGGATTTGGGGTCCCTGCCTCTAACCAGCTGAAATCCCCAGGCAAACGCGGCAAGATCCTCAACCCCCTCCTGCTCGGGGACCTCCCCAGGGAAACCCCACGCAAACCGCAGTCAGACGGCCCTTACCTGAGCTGTCCTTCGCTCCCACGGGTCTGAGCTTGGGCACACCGCCTTGGAAGAGGCCGCCCTTCGGCTGGATCGCAGCTGAGCTAGAGCCGTAGCTGCCGCCGCCACTGCCCTTGGGCTCTGAAAGGAGGCAGAGAGGTTAAGCCTGGTATTATCAGCTCCTCCGATGAGGAGCCACTGGAAACCAGACAGGTGAGAGCCCAGAAGCCATCCTGAAGGGCACAGCAGGACCCGCGATGGGGCTGAGCACCTCCCAGTGACAGCCAGGCGGGTACTCACTCTCTAGGATTGGTGCACTCCGGTCATTGATTTGTGTCACTTTCTTTAACTTGGTCCCTTTACAGATGTCCTGCAGGAGGGCCCCACGGCCCCGCTGCTCCTCTCGGCTCAGTTTCGGTGGCTCTGTGTTCGCCTGGAGACAAGAAGCAGCTCAGCAGGAGCTCACCTGCGCAGACGGACACCCCGACGCACAGAGCAGGCACAGCCCGACTCCACCTTCCCAATTCTCCTCCGCTGAGCCCAGAGGCACCCCCACCCCCTGCCAGCAAACAGCCTTCTCCAGGCTTTGTTCCATATGGAGTGACAGGGCTGCCCCAGGAGGTTACGCTGCCATCCCACAGGGTGAGCTTGAGACCCCGTCCTACCTAGACCCAAGACGCAGCTCAGTTACAGCCACGTGCAAGATCCCCTGCTCTCCCCACCCCGAACCACGGTGGAGCAGAAGACACTAATACAAAAAAAAGCCACATGCAGCCCCTTCCGTGTACAGATTCTGCTGCAAGGGAAACTGAGGCACAGCCCCTGGGTCACCCGAAGCTCTCGTAGGCTGGACTCGAGGAGGTCCAGAGAGAACACAGGGGTTCCTGGCAAGTAGCACCATGGGGAGCCAGGCCACCTCCCCACCCTACAACCAGCCAGGCCAGCGGGCAACGAGAAGACCCCTACCTGACCGAAGGTGGGAGGCGGCGGGGGGCCAGGCGGCGGCGGCGGGGGAGGAGGGATCGGCATCCTGGCCCGGCTCCCGGTGGCCCCGGCTGCTCAGTGCTGGGGGCAAGCCTGGTCATTCATGCCTGCAGGAAGGGAGGAAGCAGTCAGGGACTGGAGGGGAAAGCTGGCAAACCAGTCACAGAGAAACATGGCCCAGGGCTAGCGGGCTAGTGCCCTGTGCCTGAAGCTCCCCGTACAGGGCAGAGGCTGGGGCTGCCCTCTCCTGGCTGGCTCAAAAGGGCCACCACATTCTCCCAACACCCTGGAACAGCAGGTCCCAGTGGCGGGAGCCAGCACAACCCCCTGCCCCAAATCGCCAGGGCCCCCACACCAGCGCGGAGCCTGCAGCTGAAACCCAGGACGTTTTTCACGCAACTGCCTCGCTCAGCAGAGAAAACCCAGCCAAGCTAATCCCGCGCCATCAATCCAGCTCCTTTATCTGCAGCCGGAGGCTGCTCATGTGGAAGTGTGACAGGAGCCCAAAGCCTACAGCCCGTCAGCAGGCACCGTGGCCAGCCCTGGCACGTGTCCCCAGCAGGCCCCTCCAGCCACGAACGCCGTTAAATCTGCCAGACGGATCACCGAGCAGAAGGCAGACGAAGCGGCGCGGTGCCGTCCTGTGGCTCGCGCAAGGAGACACGCTCCCGTCCCCGAACAGCCCTGACAGATAAGGCAGATTTTCCAAACCACTCGGATCCTACTTCGATAACCTCCCAACACTCTAAAGGCTGCCTGTGCCCTGCTCCTTTTCCACATCTCCAAAGCCCCCCGTGAAGCTGTCCAAGCAGGCAGCGAAACAAGCTTTCCCAGCATCGATCCGATTCCATTTCAATCCATCCCCTCACAAGCCCAAAACGAATCCATCCAGCACCGTGGCTTACCCAGAAGGGCTCCCAGCCCGCGCAGCGCTTCACCAGCGGGGCTCCGCAGAGCCTGGCAGGTTCGGTCGGCACCGGAGACTGAGCACGGAGGAAGCGGGGACAGGAAGAGGAGATCACCGGGAGATCACAGGACAGGCCCCTGGCAAGCTCGTGCCTCTGACAGCAGCGCGCAGGTAGGGCCGTCCCGGCAGCACCGGCTCAGGGAATAGGAATGTGATGACTGGAGGCCTCACTCACCACCCCGGGAGTTTCGGGTGCTCGGGGCAGACCATGAGGCAGGGGATGAATGCCCCTCTCCAGGCCACAGATGTCTTTCCCCCAGGAAAACCTGTTCCTTAACCACTGAAGGGGACCACAATGCCAACGCCAGGTAAGAACAGGATAGTTTCACACCTGAAGCTTCCGACTTCTGACCCCTGACCTCCAGGGCAAGCGACCAGAGAGGTCACAGATACATCCACCACGACAGCGAAAGCTTCTTTACTACCCAGGCACTGAAACCCAGGTGCCCACAACCTTTGAAATGCTTTGTATCAGGTATTAAAATCCAGATCCCTTCTGAGACTCGCCTTCGACTAGATAAACTACAATTTACTGGTACCACGGTACACGGAAGGCAGGGTAAAACCAGGTCCATCCTCACATGTCAGACGTTACCACTCCCTGTCACGGCAGAGGTCTGAGAACAGGAAAAACGGACCAGCAGCATCGCTGCGATGCCAGCGGCTCCCCTGCCCTCAAGCAAACCACCAGCTCGCTGTGGTTCAGCAAAATAAATAAATAAATAACCTGTTAATTAAAAGCAGCTCTTCTACCGAGTGAGAAACTTCCCAGCTACAGACACCCTCATTGGGAAGACATTCCTCCCTCTATCTTCCGGTGTTTTCTAAGTCACTCGAGATCTTAAGTTCCCTGGTGACACCTGCCACACCTCTGCGGAGCTGAGGAACGGCGCAAGCTCGAACGCGCCGTGACTCAGTGGGTCCTCATCCACCTCACCGGGGCAGCCACCTCACTCCCGCCTCTCGGAAACGCATCCTCCCCGACACACGCGATGCTACTTTGCTCCGGACCGAGCTGGAAGCCTCGCACAGAAGAGCCAACGTCCAGCGGTTTCTCTTTCAGCCCCTCGTGCCACCACTCCCACCACAGCGGGACACTCCGCAGACTGGAACGAAGCCTGGCAAACCCATTCAGCCTGTACCTTTCCCACCGAAGCAGGATCAGAGACGGCTCATAACGTGCTCGTCTGGGACCTGCCGGCGCTGCCAGGACGTGTTGCAACAGGAGCGCTTTTCCCCCATGCTCCTTCCCACCTCGCAGGGCCAGGACGGTGCAAGCTGCTGCCAGGGCAGAGCGTGACATCGGGGGACGGTGTGATGGCGTCGCGGCACAACCGGCAGGAGGAGACAGGCAGGAGAGCCCCGGCCTTGTTTGAACACCAGCAGCTGGAGGTAATTAGCAGAGATACAGCTGAGAAACGTGCCAGGTAATGAGACTCCTGACTCGGTCTCATGTGTCACAGGCCTGAGCCAGCACAGGAGCGGTGCCAGCGCTGCGGGCCGTCACCTCCGCTCCCAACCCACGGGAACAGAAACACCCACATCACCTCCCTGTTACGCTCCTGCTCCAGCTGGTTACTCACGGGGTGACGTTTCCCACTCAGCTCTGCACCTCGACGGCACTCAGGGTCACAGGAACCCCTTCAGACACTCCTGCAACAGGGACACCCTGCCTCGCCGTACACAGACGGACAGACGGGGGTTTGTCGGCTCTCAGAAGACAAGTTGGTGCCATGTCTGCAAGGGAAGCACGCTGCTTGGGTCCCCCCCGTTTGCCCTGCTGCCCCCCACATAAGCCCTGCGTCAGGCGGAGCAGCCAGGGACAATCCCACGGCAACATTACCTCCCATAAGCACAGCCAGGGAGGCGAGGGGTATTTCTACAATGAAAACCATGAGTCATTATCTCCCCGTATCTAACATGCCCTTAAAACTCCTGCTGCACCGAAACCTGCATTCAGATAAAGGCTCTGACCTAGAAGAGCGAGAGAGGAGGGGAGAGAAGAGTTTAAGCTAAAGCAGCTTGAGGATAAACTGGAGCTGAATTCCCGAGAAACAGGTCATTTCGTTTCAGCACACGGCCCCGTTCAGGTTGTGGATTAACAGCAAAGGTCACATTGAAAAACCAAAATCAAGAGGCACCGAACTCAGCACGTGGTGGCTGCTGATTATTTCATACCACGAGAAAAGCCGAGATCTCTGGGTGGGAACGCTGGAGTGATTCATGTCTGTCTTTAAAATAAAGCCTAGATCTTTAATGTTCGTGAAGACAGACGCAACTGATAAAGATTAGGGAGACACAAGCTAAATCCTCCAGGGAAAAAACAGGGGGTTCTCCCAGCACTGCTTACCACCCCTTAATGTCTGGCATATGCCTTACAGAAATCATGCCCTTTGAAACAATGCCGCTCCGACAGCCGACTTCTCTGCGCTTCTTCTCCTTTGTTCTTCGTTACCAGGGATCCTCTCACCAAGCCAGATCTGAGCCTTGGAGAGCTCCATATGCCGCGGCGGCAGCTCACTGCGCTTGCAGGGAAAGTGGTTTGAAAGACCTGAATCAGGGCAGCGAGAGAGACACCCACTAGATCAAAGCGCAGAGGAGAGCTCGTCTTTGGTTAAGCCAGGAGGGGCAGGTTTGCGCATTAACTTTCCTTTTAAAATAAAATTAAAAAAAAGCCAAGAAAGCTGTGAGAAAACCGGGAGGAAGACAATGTGTGAAAAGCTATCACTTTGGAGGAGGGAGAGCTCACGGAAATCGAGGTGACCCTGCAGAAAGCTGCTTCCAGAGCTGCTGCTCAGCAGCCACGCCAGACCCCACTGTCACCGCAGCACCCCGCGGCAGCACCGACTCTGGGGCAGTCCCGCAGCATTTCGAATCAGCACTCCCCTCCCAACCCTGCGTTCAAAACACCATTAAAACCCAAGAACGTTACATTCAGCAGCCCCTCTCTCCCGTAAAACAGCTGAATTATCCAGATCTGGCCTGGACAGGACTACACGCCGCGTTTTTCAAGTCCCCATTTGCCACGAAGGGAAATGAAATGCCTTCTCCAGCAAGCAGCCCTGGATTCTGCTCATCCCTCGAGGGGGGCTGCTTTTTTAGCAGGACAGGCAGCGGTGACCTTCAGACGCCATAAGCGTGTTTCCTTGCTTTTCAGGGGGATTTGGGCGCCGCGGTGGATTTGTATTTCACAGCTATGCTGGCTGCGGCTGCGAGCCTGCATTTGCAAACCCGAGATGAAGCGCTTCATCCTCAGGGAGGCAGCGGCTTTGAACTGCAGATCAAGAGGAATTTCCAGCCCTCTGATGTCGGCTGCAGAATGCGGCTGCACCGGTTTGGGGACGACTTCCAAGGCCGGACCTCTCTAACTCTCCCTCCCGCCCCCGCATCACAGGGCGCCTTTATCTTCCACCTCTTCCCATCCAATCCCTCAGTTCCTTGTTACCCTTCCAAATTCAGTGCCTGTCCTCCGAAGCCTGACATTTCTGCCCGTTCCTGAGGAGTGAGGACTTCGGCAGCACTGAAGATGTGACATAAATAATTGATCCTGAAAGACAGCCATCCCAGGATTTAAGGTCATCCAGGCTTTTAAAATCGTATCAGCATGCTTTAAGAGAGCGAGCTGCCATCCCGATTTGGAGCGTCTCAAAGAGCCGGTGCATCTCTGCGTGCAGACAGACAGACACACTCCAGCCCCGCGGGACTCAGATGTTCACTGTGAATTATTAACAACCCACGGTCACTGACAATGCATTTTTAACAAAACCCTGAACACAAAAGTTTCTAATGCCTCGGGGCTGAATTCCACAGCCCTCGGTGGAGCCACGGCTTCCCAGTCCCCGACCATGGGACCCCAGAGCCAGGCTGTCCTTTAGCAGCTTTCCACCGAGCTCAGCTCGGTTCACTTGGCAGAGGAAACCTTTAATCAGGAGCGAGGAATCGCGTCCTGACATTAGGGGCTGCAGCAAAGCGAAGAGCAGGAAAAGCCCATCCCAGGAGGGCCCGCAGACTTCCCTGCCTCTCCCCGTCCCGTGTGCCAGGCGAGAAGGGAAAGGAAGCTGGGGAGGGAGAGGTGGCACACGAGGGGACCGGGCAGGAACGGCTCTGAACCACCGCTCTCTCCGATGGACATCTCTGATTGTTCCAGCAGGAGGAAGCGGTGGGAGACACAGGGACTTCCCGACTGCTTCGATGGTGACCCACAGCTGGGAATAACGTGCTCACACCTCGCAGAAAACAATACGCCGCTGAATGGAAAGCGACTCCCAAGCCCGGTGTTGGTGTTCAGATAAAAATGCCTTTTTATCAACTGCCAACGACGCACCATTCCCTTCACCCAGGCTCCAACACTGCGCATTTAGGGCAAACGAAGCCTGCGCGCTGGAGCCGACAGAGCTGGGAGCTCCTCGAGGCGCAAGGGGAGCAAGGAAAATATCGGTGGTCTCGGGCTGCTCTGAGCAGGATGGCAAGCAGAAAGGGGCTCCGGCCACCTCCGAGAGCCTTTTAAAGCCCCCCAGCAGTGCCGGGGCGCACTCACGCAGGGCTAGTTCAGCAGCAGGCACTAACGAGCTGCGACTAAGGCTCTCTCCGTGTCTAAGGCTCTCTGCACAGCAAACCCAGTGCAGCATCAGTCTTTGGTCTCCATCAGGCTGCAGCCGACACGCTACCAGCAAAGAGCAAGGAACACTAAACAAACCCCTAAAACGGCACCAGACGCTCTGCGGCGCAGAGTTTACGGCACCAGCGGCCTTACACGGGAGCAGGCAACCAGTCTCCAGCTCCAGCCTGCCACCCTGAGTTGACGCCGTCAGCTGCCGCAGCGTCTGCCAACACAGGTCTGAGTCACGAGGCAGGGACAGCAAAATGCCCAGGTGAAACTCTCTGCCAAAAAAAGCACATTATTTGGAGGGGGCCCTCACACTTTCAAACCAAACCCCTGCGCCAAGCTTTTCTCCCAGACTCACCCCAATATCCGAGCAGTTGGCAACGAGCCGACCCACCCTCTCAGAAGAAGCAATGCCAGGCCAGCACTGAAGGTCTGACATTTTTGGGTCTTCCTCCTCTGCCCATCGGGAGCAGCGGCCCTGCCCTGGAGCGTGGGGCCAAGAGGCAGCACCTCCGCAAGAGGTCACTGCGCCGTGAGACCAAACAGGCTGTGCTGGTGTTTTAGGAGAAAAACCAGTGTTCTGTCCAGTCCCCCGGCCCTCACCCAGAGAGTTCGGTTACAACCGTGAAAGAAAAAAAAAAAAATTCTGTTGAAAACCCATGAGCTACACACACACGCTGCCTGGAGGTCTCCTGTTCTCAGAAACCTGGATGGAGAATAACTGTGCCTTTAAAATACTGCAGGACTGGCTCCAGCTTAAACCCCTGTACCAGGGGGTTACGCAGAGTGCTTAAACACGCCTGAGACCCCGCAGCGCCCCTGCAGCAGCCGCCCTCCTGCTCTGCCCACAGCCCTTCAGCCCCTTCGCTCAGCAAGGCAACACCCAGGGCTGGGCTGCTCTCCCCTGCCCTGGCCAGGAGCCTCCAGGACAGGCACCCCCCCGTGCCCCCCACCGGGGTCTCTCCCACCTCTTGCCAGGCGTCCGTGACGCTCCCTCCCTCTTCCTCTGCTGACGGGGCTTTCGGGGAGGCTGAGGACAGAGACCTCCAGCTCAGTCCCTTCTGTCACCCCTCTCCTGCAGGCCAGAGGTGCTGGGGCTCTGCCTCCTCACCAGTCTCCCATGCTGACTCTTTTGCAAGAGCTGCTCCAAGCCCGGCTGCGGGAAGCAGCCCTGAGGGGAGACGAGCAGAGCTGGGCTGGAACGCAAGGTCTCCTGCTGTTCCACGAAACCCGGCCAAGTATTCTCAGGGTTTTCCTAGGCAAAGGCCAAGCAGAGATGCGCCGATTCGCAATCCAGAATACACAGGGCAAGTAACTGAGGCAGAGTGCAAGTCGCTGGGCGCCATCGGGAGGTGCCTGCTGGAAGGGCACAGTCCCTGCTGCAGAATAAAGTCACCCCGAGCCACCCCAAAGCCACAACGGCCTCACGGAAAGGAAGCAGCCACTCCAAAAACCATCGCTGACTGCTTCTAAAAAAGAAATGCATCTTTCTTCTAACCAGGTTGGCACTCAGAGTCATTAGGAGAAGATTTACAAGCTACCGTAGCATACCCAACACTTCGGTGTTATTTTGGGACACACGTATATGCTTGATGTTTGTGCAAGACCCTAAAGCTACAGAAACCTTACAAACGGGGCTGATCCACGCCGCAGGATCGATAGGACGGCTTACGGCGAGCGGAGCCCTTGCTGAGGCAGGAGGCCAAAGGTGGCGAGGGCCTGGCCCCACCGGCCTTTGCTGCGACAGCCGCAGCTGCGGGAGGTGTAAGAGCGCGAAGGAAGCGCCTGTGTCAATGCCAAGGGAAAACGGAGCCAAGCCCTGTCAGAGCGAGTTCTCCACACAGTCAGATCCACACTCGGCTGCTTTTCAGGTTGGTAGGTGCCAAGAACACGCTGCAAATTTACAGCTGGTGCAGAGGGAGAAGAGGGTTTGCTTTGAGACATGGTCTAGTAACAGGGTGTGACAGACAGAGAGACTCAGCGGTGGGGTCGGACGGTCCTTGCAGATGCAACCCCGTCACTCCCAGCTCCTGGGCAAAGTCATGAGCACCCCTGGGTCACCGACCCCGACTCCAGCCCAGGTGAGGGAAGATTTAAGCCCCACACCTCCAGGAGGAAACCACTGGCCATGCAGGAAGGTGTCCTGCTGCTTTGGCGAAAGCAGAGACAGGCTCTGGGCGCAAGCAAGCGCAGCGTGCACCGCTGCAGGGGCACCGCAGCAGCAGGTCAGACCTGACAAGGACACTCGAGCGCAGCAGCACCGAATCCCAGCGCGCAGCGTCCCGGGGTGCAGGGCCCGGCACGACGCCCACGTCTCCTCACAGCCCAGACTGCCCGGGGGCCACGCTGCGAGCGAGCCCTGCCAAGCAGAATTTGCAACTCGCCTCACCTGCTCCCGCTGGAAAGGGGAAAGCGGAGCTCCCTGCAAACCTCCGCACCCGCCCGGCAGCTTCTCCCCTTTTCCCCCGAGCATCCCTCCGGAGCTGCCTCCACCCCAGGGCTGCCAGAAGAAGAGTCTGTGCTCAGGGCACGGGGCTGCTGCGGCTCCGGCTGGGGCTGCC